CCCAAACCCCAAATGGAGGATCTCTGCTGCAGCATTGGAAAGGCCTTTACCCCTAGTGGAGAGCTGCCTGTGTGCTGCCCAACTCCAGAGCTTGGTGGATCAGTGCATTCCATGAATGACAGCTGAACAAAAACATCATCTGCCCATCCCTTGGGAGACAACGTCTTGTTTTGTCCTCTAAGAATCTGTTTGAGCCACCTTCCTATGCTGAAAGATCCCATTGTCCTGCTAAGAGTCATGGAAGTGGTTGTCTTTCAGGATGCACACAAGACCTCTTTTTTTTGCTGGATGTGAGAGTATTTATTGTAATTCCCCTTCTTTGTTTTAAAGAACTTTTAATGGAATACTTCAGATAAGAAGGCATGTACATATAGAAGGTGTATATAAAATACCACCAACACTTGTGCATCCAGTGACTATCTTAAACAGAGTACTACACAGCACTCCCTGCCGCCCCTGCCTGTCCCTCCTTGTTCACATCCCTCTTGCAATCTCTGTGGGTTAGTTCTATGATTGTCCTCGCCTTAACCTTTCTTAAGAGTTTAGATTACACACATATGTATCCCCAAATAATACATAAAGTTTTACTTATTGTTGACTTTAGCATATATAGCATCAAATTGGATGTGTTCTTTTGTAACTTGCTTTTTTTTTTTTTTGCATGAAATCATGTAAGATTAAGCCCTGTTGGTGCATTAAATGCCTATTTTTTTTTTTTACATCCTTTGCTATACAGTACTCCATTCCATAGATAGACTGAAATTCATCCATCTATCCATTCTCTGTTAGTAGACATTTGGGATGTTGTTTTTTTTTTTTTTCTTCTAAATAGCAATTTGGGGGTAATTTTTACTATCACTTTTTTTTTTTTTTTTTTTGGTGGTGCCAGGATTGAACCCAGAGCTTCATGCTTGCTAGGCAAGTGCTCTACCACTGAGCCACATCCCCAGTCGTGCTGTTATAAATTCTGATGCTATGATATTGTGTTGCACATACCTGTAGAGCAGAGAGATGCAAGAATTCTGTAGGTTGTGAAAGTTGTTGTGGGATTGGTGGGTGAAAAGGCATGGACATTTTTTGACTTAACATTAACTATTTCCAAGTGTTTTGCAAAATGGTTGTACCAGTTTACACATCTAACATGAGTTCCTGTGGATCCCATTCTTGGTAATATTTTTACTACCCGACTCAAATTTTTGTCAGCTTGTCAATTCAAAACGGCTTTTTTTCTGATATTAATCAGCGTTTCCTGAATTACTTATAAGGGGAAGCATTTTTGCATTCCTCTGTCATTGATGCCTCCTCTATCTACTGCCTTGAATTTCTTGGATCCTGATCTACATAGTCAGGATAGATAATAGTGCAAAGGTGCAGGTTGACACAAGATGTGCTGCTTCTCTTTGTGAAGGCCCTGAGGAAGCAGGAAGTGGCCGTTATGGACCTCGTTATATCACAGACATGGGTGCTGGAGAGGATGATGATGGATTTGAAGACGACCTAGATCTGGACATTTCCTTTGAGGAGGTAACAGTCCTCTCTGCTCTGCAAACCCACAGATTTTAGCTTTCTTGCTGAACAAGGCAATGTAGCCAATGGAGCATGAACATTTTACTTCAAACTTAAATTGACCCATTTGCTTTTAACATATGTTTATTTCTTCTGACTCTGAGGCTCAAGGAGAGCATAAATTAGTAGTAGAGAAGATCCAGCCATGCTGAAGTTCTTGAGACAGCGCTGCCTGCTGATCTCACAATCTGGCAAAAACCTAGTTAGATTTCCCACCAATGAAATTTTATAAAATCAGTTATTTTAAGGAAATAATAATTCCTTGACAAATGGTGCATCTTTGTAATAATGTAGTAAGAACAACTCACATAATCTCAGCATTACCACTGATTTTCTGAGTAATAAAAGGTACTTAAAATCTCCATGTCAAGTTCTTCATCCATAAATCGGGGTCAGTGCTTCTGCCCCATCTACATCTCAGGGTTTGGGGAAAGTACTAATAGCGACCATATTTTCAAGAATTCAGCAACCTCCACAGTAAAGCAGTCTAATTACCATGCCCAGTCTTTATGCTGAATTTTTTTTTTCTTCTCTGGTTTTAGGTGAAACCACTTCCTGCTACCAAAGGAGGGAATAAGAAAGTATTGGTGGAAACTTCTCTGTCCGACCCCCAGTCCATTTCCAGACCTGCCCCCACTACCTCAGCATCTTTCCCCACAACTACCGTGGCTCTCCAGCCCACTCCAGCAGAAGGGAAGGGGAAGAAGGGCGAAGCCATGATGTTGAGGCTCTTCGAGAAGTTTTGTGATGAGATCCTCTGCCCTGCTGACAGCTTTTGTGTCAATGACTACACCTGGGGGGGCTCACGATGCCATTGCAACCTGGGCAAAGGTGGCGAGAGCTGCTCAGATGGTAGGTGCTCTGGGGGAAAATGTGGCAGTGGTTGGGCCCCATGGAGAGCCAGATGTGAGCACTGTGATCCAAACATGTCTCCTTCTATTCCATTTGTAGGACAGGCCCTTTGCTCCTCAGATTGGTCATTCAATTAGCTGAGCAAGGCAAATTGTGAAGCAACTTCCACTGCTTCTAATCGTAGAGTCCAGCTCCTGTGTGTTAGATGGGTAGTCCTTTAGGAACAGACACCATTAAGTCATCTCAGTAGCACTTTGGAGAGGTGGGCTCTAGAATTGGCTCATCTCTACCAAGAAGCTGCTTTTCCAGAAAAACACGGGCATGAGGGTGACAAGGACCATAGTTGGGCCAATTTACATTACACAAGTGTGTATCTGGAAAGTGACTGGCAGTGTTCTGAAAGCCTTCCATTTCTTTTTAGGGAAGCAAACACCAATCCCCCAAATCCAATAACTTCCCAACACTTTCAAAGTTCCAAGTTGCTAAGTTGAACAGATCAGCAAAGGCTTCCACTTGATGGTAGCCAGGCAGGGGTGTATATTGATTTTTTCTTTTGAAGAAATGAGGCAACACCATCCTTTCATGTTGTCTTTTTGCTTTTCAGATATTCTTATTCAGTATCCTCAGTTCTTTGGCCACTCCTATGTAACCTTTGAGCCTCTGAAGAACTCCTATCAGGCATTTCAGATTACTCTTGAATTTAGGGTAAGGGGCGTGAGTCATCTGCTGCATGCTATTTGGCGCCTTAGAGCATCAAAAGGGAGATGGGGAACAGGCTGGGGAAGCAGGGGGAGGCATCCAAGATCAACCTGACACAGAGCCCATCCTCTAACCAGATATAATAGGAGCAATGGGCGCATTCGGGACAGTTACAGCCCGAAGCCAAAGTGGGGTAAGGGAGTGGGGGTAGTGTGTTACTGAACCATGGATCAAGACAGGCACGAAGGTTTCCAGAGAGGGTGCTGGGGTCCCAGCATAGCTGTCCATAGCCATGTCTCCTCCCAGCCAGGACTTCAGAAGTAACACTGCATGCTGTATTCCCAAATCCTTCTTAAAGGGAACCCCAGTGTCTGTCTTCATTGCAATGGCTGACACTGAACCTACAGAAAACTGTACTACCACCAGCCCCTCCCACAGCACATCTGGAGAACCCGGTAGAGGCTCTCTGGTCTGAATCAGCTGCAGATCAGAACTCAGTTCAGCTTAAGTGATTCTTTTTACTACCTTTGAAGAAGCAAAGAGGTTTGAAGATCTGGAACAAGCCCCCCTTGAAGTACCTGTCACAGTATCCTCATCTAAGACCACCAGCAGGCCAATCAGATAAATTTATTTTTTTTCCCCATCCTGGTCTCCCGGTAGTAAAAACCAAATGTGCATGTCTCCCAGGAAGGAATGAAGACTAGTCAAAAGAGTAAAGAAAAAAGTAGAATGCTCTTTGGTGTCAGAAACTGGTGAGCGCTAGTGGTGTGCTCACATGCGTGCACATGCGCACATGTCGTCTGGAGGTTCCGCAGACGGGTCCGCAGAGCCAAGGCAAGAGCCGGTGGGGGGCGGTGGGGACCTTCCTCTCACCTCCCTGCCATTTCTACACACTGCTTACATCACTACCCCCTTTTTAACAATATGCACTGGGCCTGGGAGTGAATCGGAGCCCTCATGCTGGGCACCTTGTAGACAGGGTACCCGCAGGCAGAATGCTCAGCTTGCGTGTTCCTGAGTGCGTCCAGATGGCGCCCCCTGGAGGAGGAGGCCGTCACTGCTCATGTGGCTTTTCTTTGTGTAACAACAGGCGGAGGCAGAGGACGGCTTGCTGCTCTACTGCGGGGAGAACGAATATGGAAGGGGCGACTTCATGTCCCTGGCTATCATCCGACGCTCCCTGCAGTTCAGGTAACTCTTGCCCAAATCCCTACCAGTTTTTAAAAATTCTCCTTACATTATATGACAAGTTTATAGAGGAAGTAAAACATAGAAAGGATGGACTCGTGTAGAAGAGGAGTGCCCACCGGTTTCCCCAACACCGAGCGTCAGGACTTCAGGGTGCCTTTCAAAACCTGGGGTTTGGAACCTGCCGCCCCATTCACCCAGCAGCAGACAGCTCTGGTGCACCCAGCTCTGATGCAGCAGGAAGCCGGAGGTCAACCCTTCTGTGCTGCGGCTCCAGTGGACCTGATGGGAAGAAGGCTGCGAGCTCCTTCTGGTACCCTTGAGGCAAACAGGGTTGATGGCCACAGAGAGCAGAGGGGAGCCCACAGCCTCCAGAGGGTTCACAGAGGCTCAAGCCACGTCCTTTTTCCCTCAGGGCTGTGGTGAACCCAGTGGGTTGCCTCCTCTGCCCTGGTCATTCCTCCCAGCACATTTTTAGAAGCCACCCCTAGTACATGGGTGGCTTTCCCAGGACAGTTTCAGGGAGGAGTGAGGGGTATACCCAGTACCTATTTGTGAGCGACCGGGGGGCTTCTGCCTTGTCATTCTCCGTGGTGCTTGGCTGAGGTCCCAATGGCTCTGTTTCCCTGCTGCCTCACCTGCAGCGCCTGATAGCACCTCTCTGAGCCTGCATCCCTCCAGGACCTCAGTGGACTGAGTGAGTTCACCTGTACAGGTGCCTGGAGCAGTTCCCCCATCCCACAACCCCATCTCCTCAGCAGGCACTTGAGATGCATCAGAGGTTATGGTCTCTTTATATTATTTCAGCATAAAAAGTAATTTTCATGTAGAGAAACTTTTAAGCATCCCAGTTGAACTAGAAAATGGACCTTCGTTCTTTGCGAAGTGATTTCATTTCTGGAAGTTTTATGGCAGCTGCCAGGATGGGGCAGTGGTTCTAACCTCATGGGGCTCTAGCACCTGGAGGTTGCGGGAGATGCACAATAGCTCTGGCGGTTCCTGGCTGGTAGCAGCTCTTAAGCTCTGCCGTGCACGCTGAGTGATTCTGACATCCCCCCCTATGAAGCCTGTGGACACCATTCCATTCCACTGAGGTCATGAGAAAAATGGGAGGATAGGAAAAGAGGGCTGCGGACTGTGCACATCCTCATAAGGACAATGCCCATCACACCTTCTCCCTGGGAAGCACTCTCAGGATCCATCTGCAAGTGGCATGGTGGCTGTTTAGAAGTTAACCAGAGAGGACCAAAGTTCTGCCTCTCAGGCATAGTGATGATCGGACAGCCCTGGACCCTTGGGAGGTTGGGAAAAGAAAAGAATGCAGCCACCTAAGCATGCTCCTCCTCTGCCCCACACCTGGCCCCAGAGCTGGAGGCTCCTATAGAAACCTCACCTGTATGTGGGTACAGCTGCCCACAGATGGCAGGGCTGGCCGGCTTGCCAAAATGAGTGTGAAGACTTGGATTTTTATGTTTTATTAATATCACTCTGCCTGTCATTTGAGAGGTGGAGAAAGTCCACAGAGAAATGTCTGGAAGCAGAGTGGCTCACATTCTAATTCTATGCACCCCAAACCCACTTTCCACATCTGGCAGTATCTGAAAAAGAGAAGGGAGGGCTTTGGCTGCCTGTCATTTTCTGAGCTGCAGAGATGATCCAGCGAAGAAGACACTATGTCCAAAGGCTCTGTGGACAGGTTAAGGAGAAATAGATGGAGCCTCCAGGGAAGAGGCATCTTGCTCATCCAGGCTCAGGTTTACACGGCTGCTGATATCTGTAGGCACAGCTCTGAACAGATCCACTCTGGAAGGAGCTGATGTCCTGGAAGGTATGTCCACAGAGTCTGGAAACACAGTGAGCCAATTGTTCAAAGAATCTTCCTTCCCTTTTCTCCTAACAGGTTTAATTGTGGAACAGGGGTCGCTATCATTGTAAGTGAGACTAAAATCAAACTGGGGGCCTGGCACACAGTGGTGCTCTACAGAGATGGGCTGAATGGGCTGCTGCAGCTGAACAATGGCACCCCCATGACAGGCCAGTCCCAGGTAAGGCTCACACCCTGCCGGCCCACTGACACTCACCCTTGGCTTCCGGAGAGGAGCTCCCTGCAGAGAGGTGAGGCAGGGTCAGTCAGCAGGATGCAAAGGGACCCACACCACCAGGGCTTTGCCAAGCTCCTGCTCTGCTCCAGGTGAGCTTTCAGGCCACACGCACTGCAGGGAGACTTGAAGAGGCATCATTGCTGCTGGGTGCTGTGTGCCCAGGAACGTGTTCTGCATCCACAAGGACATCACAGGGACATGAAGGCCAAGGAAAGCCCCTGTTGGAAGAACAGTCCCTCATCAATGTTAGACTCAAAGCTTCCTTTTGAGGCAGGAGGGTCAGAGTCGTGTGGCTTTAGAAAATAGCTGGAAAGATTCCTTTGGTTCAAGATGCAGGAATAATGAATTCACCACCTTTGTGGAGGTCGTCATTGTGGGAAGTGGGGAGATAATTTAACTGTTGGGTTACTCAGCAAATCACCTAGGAATTCATGTATTTGTTATGCTCTGAGTAATTTGAAGACTGTGTTTAGGGTAAAGAGCTCAGGTTAGCAACCTGCCAAGACATGGAACCTGTAATTATAAACAGGCAGGTATCTGTGTTCTCTTAGGGCAAATGGAGCAAGGAAACCATTGTGTATATGTCTAAGCTTCCTCCCCTCCTGGGCTCTCCACTGCTCTGTCCTGGCAAGGTATGTCATATAAAGGGTCATGTCTTCATGATTCTAAAGGCAAAAAAAAAAAAGTCATAAATTTGGACCCAAAGTTTCCAAAGGAACAAAAATCCAAATGTAATGAATGTGAGTAGAGGGACACCATTTATACCCATATTCCTGGAGAATAAAAGGGCAGGCAGGGACTGGGGCTGTGGCTCAGTGGTAGAGTACCTACCTTGCACATGTGAGGTACTGGGTTCAATCCTCAGCACCATATAAAAAATAAATAAAGATATTGTGTTAAAAAAAAGGACAGATAAATGAACCACAAAGTCACATCAATGCCAGGACAATAAGACAAACTTGATAAATGAAATTTGATAGAACTAAAAAGACTTCAAACTTGGACACAAAATACAAACAAGAAGACAGGATGTTAAAATACATGTAATGCATGTAAAAATCTTTAATAGTTTAAAGCAAGGAAATTCAGTGATGATGAAAAAACAGAGCAGTAAAAACAAGATAAGGAAAGTATAGGCTGCATTAATAGAGGCATAGAACGTAGAGAAAAGGTGGTAACAGTCTTTTTCTGTTCTAGTGACTATATAATAGTTTCCAGTGACTGTAATGGTGACTCTAATCCTCTAAAAGGATTACATTTGTTTCTGTAATGACATTGTAAGAGAGCCACAGAAAAATAGGAGCACATTCAAGGGCCAGTCACCCACATAGGAAGATGACTTAAAATCCTTTTAATGGTTGATGGAAGGAGTATTTGTTTAGATATGAGAAGATGAGGGCATGTTGCTTTTCATTGCAGAATGAAAAAAAAGAGTCTTGGGGAAGGAGGTTTTATTCAGTTGACCCCTAAGCCTGAAACGGAATGGGAAATGCCTTGGGGAGACCATTTTTAACTTCACCTAATCATACAAAGGTGTATGATATGAACTGTCTCAGGGGATGTTTTCCTGCCCTTGGGGGGACAGGTATTCAAAAAGCAAGTTATCCAAACCTTTGATAGAGATATACAAGGAATCCAATGACTAATGTGAGTTCAGATGATTTACGTTTTCACATTTTTTCCAGTCTCCTAAAACTACAATTTTAATAAATATAAGAATTTATTGCAAAACATCAGGTAGTTTTTTGTGGGCACTCAGGGCAAAGTTTGCCTCTACCCTACTGGGACTTGCTGAGCAAGTCCATAAGCAGGACCACAGATGTGGAATATTTAATAAACTGTCTGGGGAGACAGCAATTCTATTTTAAGTTTGCTTCCCTAGAAGCAAGCTTGAGATGAGGAATCCCATACAAGTAATATATTAAGAAAATGCTCCTCAGGGAGAGTGGTAAGGGAGAAGAGAAGATGAACAGGGAAGAGGAAGAAGTCAGCAAGAGCCAGATCTCAGACACAGTTCTTCAGTGTGTGGCTCCGACCTGGTCCCCCAGTGGAGCTCTGGAGTATAGACTATAGCTCAGAGCTGTCTCAAACTGTCAAGGGCGGTTTTGGGGTAATGCAAACTCCAGATCACTTCCATTTCTGCAGGCAAAGCAGTCTCCAGGGACCCAAAATTAACCTCATGAGGGGTAAAGGCTTAAAGCAGCTGGCTGAGAGACATTATGAAGGGCTCCTCCAAGGAGATACCCACCCCTCTGATGCACTTAATGCTCTAGAAAGAGAATGAGCTGTCAGTTCACCTGCTTCCATCCTGGATCAGGGGATAAGACCCAAAGGGTAAGGATGGGATCAGGAAGAAGAGAACTCTGAAGATCTTGATAAGAGAAGCCAAGAAAGTGTTTAATTCATCTAATGAAAGCACTGTGTCCAGCAGCTGGCAAACAACTTAATTAATCCTCCAACCCCACTGCAACTACTATCCTGCTCAGTCCCCTATTAACAGATGATTCTTATCTGTGCATTACAAAAGAGAAAAACAATGATTACATTTTTACTTGCTGGAAACAGAGTTAAAAGGATTCAGATTCGTGTGTTTATTAAGTTGTGGCCGCCAGTGCCTTTCCCCAGATCCTGTGTTTATCCTTTCATTCAAATGAAGGAGATATTTCTTTCCTAACAAAAACAAAGAACACGGTATCTTAATTTTCTCCTACTAATGTTCAGCTCTATATTTTGTAACCTCCAAACCTGCTGCTATCTGGATTGCCGTTCAGTCTAAGATTGGAAATTTCCCTGCCTCGCTGTAATGACATTTTTTTAAAAACAAGTTGCATCCATAGGCCCACTGAAAAGTATCTTGCAACACAATCTGTTTGGCAATTACTCCCCTGTGGTGTTTCCTGCTGCACATAGTATAAAGGCGGTTTGGTGAGTGAAAGGGTAGGTATTGGCCCACATATACCCAAAATTAGTATGGCCACCTTTAGGGGACAGTGTAGCCCTATGACCCGTCCAAGGTACACAGTAAACTGGTGTCAGGATTGGAAAGAGAAAGGTTGTTTTTGGATGCCTGGCATGGTCCAGGGCCTGCTGGGTGGGTCTGGGCTCTGACCTCCCTTCCCTTCCTTTCTGGGCATCCCAACGTCCTCCCTGCAGGAAGCACAGCCCCCTGGGAGCTCCCTGAGTTTCACATGGAAACTGTGGGTTTCATTTCCCAGTAGGGCCATGTCTTAAAGACAAATGCTTGTGAAGGAGAACCCTGGGACCGTGACCTGCATCTTAACAGCCTTCTTTACCAAATTCTGCTGTGTTTTGGCTTTTGAGTCTGTTTGGTGAGATCGTTCTTATTTTTCTTAAAGGGTCAGTACAGTAAAATTACCTTCCGGACACCTCTCTATCTTGGTGGGGCTCCCAGCGCTTACTGGTTGGTCAGAGCAACGGGAACAAACCGAGGCTTTCAAGGCTGTGTGCAGTCGCTTTCGGTTAATGGGAAGAGAACGGATATGAGGCCTTGGCCGCTGGGGAAAGCCCTTAGTGGAGCTGATGTGGGTAAGTGATTGCCCAGTGGGTTGGGAGGGTGTGTGGGGTTACCTTTCTGGTTTGGGCCAGGAAGGTGAGCAGCCAGAAGGGCTGCAGGACTTCAGGGGGGAGGACGGCGAGTGCTGGTGCCCTGTGAACATGTTGACCTTGACTCTGAGCATAGGGTATCAGTAGGGTGAAGCAAACCCTGTGACGTACCCTGCTGCCATCTTAACCTCTGCTTGAAATGCAGTGTGGGTGCACTGGGCAGAGCAAACCCATCAGCCTTCTCGCCCCAACTTTCCCTGTCCAGGGTAAAAAGCCAACACAATCGTATAAGTAGAGATTTTCTGTGTCCTCTGTTCTACAGGAAGAAGGTCAGATTCTCATTTTTGACCACCATGCCACACATTTTCTGTCTTGGTTCCCAAGGCTGCAGTAACACAGTGTCACAGATCGCATGGCCTAAATATCAGCAGTTCGTTTTCTCCTGTTCTGGAGGCTGGAAGTCCAAGGTCAAGGTGCAGGCAGGCTCTACTTCCCCTGGGGCTCTTTGTTGAGCTATCGGCTGGCTGCTCTCTCCAAGAGCCTCACGTGGTCTTCCTCTGTGTGTGTGCCCCTGGGTCCCTGCATCCAAATTTCCTCTTCTTCTAAGGACAATAGTCAGATTGGACCTGAGCCCCCCTCCCAAGATCTCATGTAATATTAATTACCTCCTGAAAGGCCTTATTTCCAAGTGCAGCCACATTGGGAATGAGGGTGTCAACCTATGAACTTTGAGGAAGATACCACACAGCGCTTATTGGTGACAGCCGAGAGTCCCACTCTGGCTCATCAACTCTTACTCATTCTTTCACTCAATAAATACTTATTTGAACACATGTTTAGTGCTCGTCTCAATGCTGAGTGCTAGAGATGAAGTGATGAATGAGACAGACAGGTCCCAGCTGGGCTGTCATGCAGCTGCCATGAGGAGAGACCTTGTCAATCAAATAATCCCACGAATCAAAGTGAAATGACAATTGGGGGAAGTGTTACAAAAGAGAAGTGATAGTGCAATAATCGTGTGTAACAGGGAGATTTTTAGGGACTGGGTAGAGAGAGGGTCTCTAGTGAGTGAAACGACTACATGATTTCAAAGTAGCCACCAGCAGATGTATTTTGAGATATTTGCAACAAATGCAATGTAACGATACCTGGGAGATCACTAAACTGGCAATGAACTTGGAGTTCATCCCCGAATTAAGAGTTCAAGGAAGGGCTGGGCAGGGAGCTCAGTGGTAGAGAATGTGCTTAGCATGTACAGCCCAACTTAATCTCCAGCACCAAAAAAATGGGAGTTAAAAGAATTTAAAGTAATGGTTGAGAGAGACACTCAATTCCGGTCAGAATAATGAGGAAGTAATATTTCCCCCATCTAAGTTCACAGATGCCCTGCACCATTAGCCTCTCTGCTTATTCTACTTAGTCAGATCTGTCTTCTCCTACTTTAACAAGTGCCACAGTGACCCTGGACTGGGAACCCAGGGAACCTGTCTCCTTTCTTTGACTCTGGACTCCCACAGCAGACATTCCCACAGTCTTCTTGTGCTTAAAATGGAGCCCAAGCAAACTCCTCTTCTGCTTCCTCACTTCATAGCCCCCATCTCCTCACTCTTGGCACGGTTATTCTTGTCTCCAAGCTTTACACACCTTGAGATACTGCTGAAGTCTCCTTCCTCTTTCAGTTTCTAGAATGAATTGGTTCTTTGGGGGTATTTCCTCTGCTCTCTCCCTGTTCTATCCTCGCTTACCTCCCCATGGGATTTCTTTCCTCCCCCCTCCCCCGCCCCTCATCAGTCACCTTGACCTTGCATGCCATTGCCGGCATGATCTTTCATGATCTTGCTGAAACTCTGCTTTCATCAAGTAAACACCCTGAGATGGCTGGTTTTCCCATGCAATAATGTCAAGTAATTTCTTCCATGTATCTCTGAAAGGATCTGAGGACACCACTTTTCCTCTGGAAATAGGCCTCCTCTGAGAAAGAGTTGCAGCAACTCCACAGAAATAGGTGATGCACAGGGACCTGTGAGAGTTTGGCTCCTTACGACCAACACTGGTGTCTCTGTGGAGACCAAATGCTGGGTGCCATGTTCTCAGGTTTGTGGCTGAAGAGAGGCCACAGTCACTTCTACCAGAATTCCCAGTGTCCAACCGCTAGAATTCACAGAGTCCAGCCCAGCCCAGCCTGGGTGGTGCTCCCTCTAAAGGACTTTAACTAAATCCTGTTAGCAGCCTCTGAAGCCAGTCTCCTCTCCTGGGTACATGCTAAGAGCACCACCCTGCTCCCAGTGAGTCTATAAAAAGACAAAACTGGACCAATGAAAGCAGGCGGCTGATCAGGAAAACTCCGTGACCCTTGTCCTCCTGAGATGACACAATCAGGACATGGAGGGCCCCTTGTCTCACAGAGGGGCAGCTTCCAGCCCACACAGGTGCCATGTTGGAGACCGGGGAGGGCAAGCGCCACAGCTGGACTCCTCAGGCCCAGTCACAAACATTCCCCTCTGCTTCAACCCGGCAGCAGGTGCTTTGCTCTACCCTATGTAGTTCAGGTTTAACATCATCTCAAATCCATACCACTGGGCCGGGTTGTGGTCCCTGTGTCTAAAGAAAGAATTGGAGGACCAGAGAAGCAGAAGGAAAGCAGCCAGAAAGTGTCCATTTGTTTCCCTTCATCTCATAATCTTGAAAATAACAAAGGAGTCCTCTATGCCTCTCTCTGAGGTGGCCGGTAGGGAGAATGGGCCCATCTGAAGCTGACCCTTCAGCAGTCTTTGCTGGAGGGCACCTTGCTGTCCTTCATGCAGCTGTAACTTTGGAAATAGAAACAGGGATTCCACTCGGCACTGTGGAGCCTTCCCCTCCCCTCCCTGTCCCAGACAGAGAAGTCCACAGCCCAGACAAGTTAATAAGCTTAGGCATGGCTGCTGAACTCCTCCATCGCTTATCCTGCTTGTCTCAACTTTGAACCAACAAGGCAGCCGCACTTAAGCTAATTGGGGTCACACAAATTAGAATGCTTTTAACATAAACACTCTGTGGCCATCAGAGGGATTGAAATCCACTCTTGCGGGAACAACAGAGAGATGGATGAAAGCAGGAAAAATTCAGTCATTCCCATGGGTGGTCCTAAAATTGCCCAATGATTTATTATTTGATTTATTGTGTCCCTCATGTCTTTAAAAGTTCCTGAGGCTCTTTAGAAAGGACAAGTCAAAATCATATAAAAAAGAAGAGAAGTTTCCACTCATGCTGCAAGCTAGTGTGCAGCCGTGCAGGGGTGCAGACCAACAGGAGTGGGGACCAGGGTATAATTTTTCAGGGCCATGAATGTCTGTGTGGTTGCACGGGAGTTGCATGGCTGGCCTGGTGGATTGGCTTTTTCCTTCTCTTCTGCATTTAGGAGAATGCAGCAGTGGAATATGTGATGAGGCCTCCTGCATCAATGGTGGCACCTGCACAGCAAGCAAAGCTGACTCCTACATTTGCCTCTGTCCCCTTGGGTTCAAAGGTCGACACTGTGAAGATGGTGAGAAAGAAGCAAGTTGATGGCAGTTTCTATCTGCATGTTAATTTGCATGGATCTGATCTTTCATCAGTGCACTTTTAGCAAAGCCCCATATATTTTTATGGGATCAAGATTGCTTTGTTGGGAGGGATGAAAGTAGGTCAGAGTGCCAGAGTTCCAAACCAACCAAAGATACATTCACTTTGAGATGCTAAGCTTGGGTGGGCTCCTCATACCTTTTAGAAAGCCTGCATTTGTGTGGTTTGTACCACACTGAATTAAAAGTATTTAAAGCTTATGCTTTTTTTAAACATCTGACAGTTTCAGAGAAAAGTTTGGGAAGGCATACACAGAAATTAATGATGCGATGAGACAAAAGTGCTCTTATTTTTTCTTCTTTTTATGGTTCCACTGAGTTATTCCACCTTGTAATATTGTGTGTAATAAATCTGTGTCTATATATTTCTGTACACACACATATCTATACATGTAACACAGGCATGCAAACACAGGTGCATAGTGGCACATGAAAATAACAACTGAAAATCTGAGACTTGGGAAAGCGTACAGGCTTGAGGATGCTTTAATATGTCCAGAATTCCAAGATTAAAACAAGACTAGAGCTAAGATCACTAAAGGAAGTCAGATTCCTCTGTGAGTGATTCAGGTTTGGACCTAAGATATCACACTGGGGGAAAGCTTTTAAAAAAAAAAAAAAACATAATCTCAAATCCATACCATTAAAAGGGTATGTGTGGGTCAGAATGTGCCAGAGCTGTTGCACACCATCTCATACTTCAATAGTCATTCTTGCTCAGTCACAAGTCACTGCAGGTCAGTACTGGTGCTGTTGGTTCTGCTCCACACAGTCACTCAGGGACCCAGGTCCCTTCTACCCAGTGACTCTTCTTGGCTCTGTGAGAAGAGACAGCAGGAAGGATGGAGGGAAGTGTTAGGGGCCAGACCTGGGATGCCATTTGATATTTTCAACCCCATTCCACTGCTCAGAATCTAGTCACCCTACCTGTCCACCTGTAGGCAGCAGGGAAGTGCAGGACAGGTCTGTGCCCAGGAGCAAACTGACGCAGCCCTGGGATTCCTAACACACAGGGATTCCTAACATGGTGCTTGTTCCTTCAGCTTTCACCTTGACCATCCCTCAGTTCAGAGAGTCTCTGAGATCCTTCGCTGCCACGCCCTGGCCCCTGGAGCCCCAGCATTACCTCTCCTTCACTGAGTTTGAGATCATGTTTCGGCCGGACGCAGGGGACGGTGTTCTCCTATACAGTTATGACACAAACAGCAAGGACTTCCTGTCCATCACGATGGCAGGCGGCCACGTGGAGTTCCGTTTTGACTGTGGCTCTGGGACTGGTGTTCTGAGGTGAGATCTGACACTATCTGCAGCCTCCCCCCACCAAAGACCAAATTGCTATCTACCAGCCTGTCCTCCTCCCTACACTGTCTTCCCTACACTGTTCTCTTTGGAAACCTCTCCTGCTTCTTAAAGATGACAGGCTTCCCTCCTGCCTGCAAGTTTCCTTTCCCAAATAATGACCCAACAAGTAACGATTCTCTGCTCCAAACTGTTAAAAATGGGCTTTTCCCCCATGGAAGGTAAACTGCCTCCATTTCCACCTGCTGTCATGCTCTGCCTTCTGCAGGAGCACGGTGAATTGTAACCAATCAGCGCCTGACACAGAACGTCAAGTGGAAGGGCTCAACCAACACATGTTGACTAGTAAAAAATGTATTCACAAATATTTAACCAATTAAAATGTCCTTCATGATTTCATTTTAATTTTTAACTTTCCTCTTGAGCTATTTTTTTTTTTTTTGGTGGTAATCAGATATTTAGCAAGTCTCCTACTTACTGTTCTCTCTATGAAGGAACCTGACAATAAATCATCAACATAGCAAAGAGCAGAAAGTTCCAGAAGGGTGTGTGATGGGCGCTTTTTAGCAGCATGGCAGTACATGGGTGCCTCTAAAGTGTTGGCTGATATTTGCAAGATTGTTCTGACTAGGCAACACTTTCCTCCTGTTATCTAATTTGTACTATTAAATTCCGTAGCAGATCGATGGTTCCTGTGCAAGAGGTCAGTATCATTTTGAATCCCTTGGAGCCTGTGCTTTGCAGGTGTTGATGTTTTTCCTACTGGTTTCTGTCTTCCTCTGCTCATTGTGTTTCTTTCATGGTAGTTTTAACCTTCAAGCCTGAGGGCCACTGATCTAATGCAGACATTCTTCTTGTTCCTACATTTGTCTGATTCTTCTCTTTTGAAACTCACTAGGGTGTACTTAATGGTACCCTGCAACAGGTTATCAGTTATTCTGTTGTTGTTGTTTTAAGGGAAATGGCTGGCTGTATTCATATTTCTAGCCTGTCCTTTTTAGAGAGTGTGTGGGTGCGATGTTACCACCATGCACTGCCCTTAACTGCTGATCATTTTTCATAGCTGATGGGAAATGCTCTCTGCATTAAGTTCCAACAATTATTTGAAAAGACGGTTGATTTTTGTCCTTGTGGCTGAATTCCCACACATCGGTGACACCTCCCACCTTGGGGAATGGACAAAACATTTTTGTATCTCTGGTTAAGCAAAAACATCCTATATCTTAGCACAGCTTTGGTGGGTATTTAATTGATTCCATTTACATATGATTATGCAAAACAGCCGGAGCGATTCACTTAGAACTATATGTCAAATTTAGAAAGGAGGACACCTTGATATCACCTTGCACTTTAAATGGCTTCTTCTAGGTAAGGAATGATGAGAAAGACCTTGAGGAGGACAGGACTCATGAGCCTCCTCTAGACAGTCTACCCTGTCTTCCTGCCTCTCTCTGGGGGCAGCTCTAGCCGTGGTCCAGAATTTCTCTCTTGCCCAACTCTGTGTCTGTTTTTGGCACGTTGTAAATCTAATGTTTTTTAAATGTAAGTTATTTTCCCACCTGTCAGGAAAGGTGATTGGGAAGAGAACTCTTGAGTATTAGATATTGAAAACGAGGCAAGAGTCTCCAAGAAACAAACTGCTACCTGACCCTGGTCCCCTCCTCTGCCCACTGGGACCTGACAACAGTGATCACGGCTGGTATTTCAGATGCCTCTCTGGAAGCTATTTATTTTGAAAATCATTTCGAAGACTTCCCCCTCCATTAGGAAAATTCAGTGAAGGGCTGAACTGCAGGAAGTTGTAGAATTGGCCAAACCATTTTGCCTTCAGGAAAAGGACAAGGTGGTCAAAATCATGATGAACTTGATTCAAAAATAGAGACAATCGGAATGAGCTCTTGATGGCTTGATCAATACACTGTGTGGAGGGAGGAAGCTTATTGACAGCCACTGGCCTCGGCAGGACAAGAACATGACAAGGGTGCTGTTAGTTATTATGGAAGTAGACCACTTTAAAGGAGCCTCTTGTTTCTTTATTGCATATTGATTCAACCAAGGTGATTAAATTCTAATTGCTAAGGACAAATCACAAAAGCATTTGCCTGAGCTGAAGAATCAAATGAGGGGGTGGTGACCCTTCAATAATTGTGCCCATCGGTATTCCTTGTGGTTTTCTAAAGATCATCCAGGACCAAAAAATAATTGGGAGGTTCAGTGAGGGCCAGGAACTAGAAATACAAATGCAATAATGATACTCTTTCTGCACACCTCACTTTAAAAAAGAAATGCATAAAACACCTCTAAATATCATTTAAGCTTCAAGCTCTTCCACCCTAATTTAGTAATTGAATTTTAAAGTAATTGTAATCCTTTTCATAACAGCAGAGAACATAGAATCTATTTTCCCTTGTCTTAGTCCACTTTGTGCTGCTATAACAAAATACCTGAGACAGGGTAATTTATAAGGAACAGAGACTTATTTATCACAGTTATGGAGGCTGGAAAATTCAAGGTCAAGGGGCTGCATGCTGGCAGGGGACTTTAACTGTGTCATCCCATGGCAGAATGTCGATGGGGAAGAGAGTACACATATAAGAGAGGGTGGAAGAGGAAGGGATCTGAATCTATCCTTTTACTAGGAACCCACCTCCACCGTAACTAACTCACTCTAGTGATGTTGGTCTTAATCCACTGGTGAAAGTAGAGTCCTCTTGACCTAATTGCCTCTCAACACTATTAACATTGAGACATTGAGGATAAGTTCCCAGCATATGGACTTGGGGGGACATATTCAAATCATAGCATCTCCCCCAAATTTCATTATGAAAAGTTAAAAAAACGTTTAAAGAGTTGTAAATATCCTTATATATAACACCTGTAGCCTATAATTAATGTTTTGCCACACTTGATTTATCATATCTGTCCATCCATTCCATCCTTGCTTTATATGCATTTCAAAAAATATGGCAGGCATTCATATACCAAGGAATCTGTTTCTTGCACCATACCTATATAATTTTTCTCTTCTTCAAAGATTGTGCACAATTACTATAATATTTGACCTTCATGTCACCTTTCATCCAGGAAGCCACATCTACTGTGCCCACATTTCAGTCTTTTTCAAGGAAGAAATAAAATTAAAAAAGCAATTCTCCTCCCATGAAGGCATTCAGTAAATGGTAAATCGGTACTGCTTTGTTACTAAGTAGACATTGTTTCCCTTTTGCTGAATGGATTGAGTTTACTAAGATTTGTATTAGTTTTTTCATAACTAGATTGATGAAAATTATCCATAATATGCTCACTCAGGCTTATTTCCATCCATAGTAGTCAGGATTGTCATCAAAACAGAACCTGTAGGTTAAATATAGATACACAGAAAGAGTTTCATCTAGAAACATTGACTTACATGGTGATGGAAAGTGAAAAGTCCTGTGGTCTGCCATCTATAAACCAGTGGTGTCGTTCTGCCCAAGCCTCCAGTCCAGAGAACCAGGGAAGACCCTGGTGTAAGCCCCAGTTTGAGTCTGAAGGCCCAAGAACCAGGAGGCTAAAGGTCCATGTCTGAAGACCTAAGAACTGAGAGCGCCAATGTCCAAGGCCAGGAGAGGCGGGATGTCCCAGCTTCCTTAGAGAGGAAATTCACCTTTCTTCCCTTTTTTTCTTCTATTCAGGCCCACAGCAGATGGATGATGCCCATCCACATTGGTGGGCCATCTTCTTTACACAGTCTGCCAACTCAAAGGCTAATCTCTTCCCCAAATGCCCTCACAGACTCACCCCAAAATGACATCTTACCAGTTTCCTGGGTATCCCTTCGCTCAGCCAAGTTGACCAATGAAATTAACATACATGTCCCTTCCACAGGAGTGAAGATGCCCTCACCCTGGGCCAATGGCACGAGCTTCGTGTATCTCGCACAGCGAAGAATGGCATCTTACACGTGGATAAGCAGAAGACGGTAGAGGGAATGGCAGGGGTAAGAACAACCCTTTCTCCCGTCTGAGAGTGAAAACCAGGTTACTGTTTTCTACTGAACACGGTGGAAAAGCAGCACTGTATAGTGTTTAAGCACACAGAGTCCAGTGTCTGGATGGAAATCCCAGCCCTCCTCTGGGCAATTACTTTTTTTTATTCCTTAACTGTAAATGGGCATAATAATAATACAGGCTTCATAGGTTTGCTGTATGGACACGTGAATTAACACTTAATAAGATGAGCACTTAAAAAAATTGCCTTCTCTCCCCTTTACCCCCATGACTACCCTGTCCTTACGGGCAGAATCAATGGAGTAGATCAGAACACAGTCTGTGCGGTAGATTAATCTTACAAATCTTACAGGAAAGATTAATCTTATAAAAACAGACTGTCAAACCATAATGTTGGCATTCAAAATCTAACTTTGTTACTTACTGACGGCATAAGGTCATGTTGGTTACTTGACCTCCTAGGTTATTTGTCTCATCTCACTATCATATTCACACAGCGACCATAATGACAGTGATAGTGACGACTTCATAGAGTGGGTCTGAGAAATGCAAGAATTATCAATACAAAGTACAGCAGCACCTGGGCAGCACTATGTAGCTTTACTTATTATTAATTATGATGATGATTATTACGTATTAACATGCTATTAAGGAACTCAAGGGCAGAATATTTACTGGAGTTTGTGACTTTCCTCCATGATTTCATTTCTAGGTCATGTCCAGGGAGGAAAAAACATGATAGAGGCAAAAAAGGAAAATTTGCTTAAATCACTAGAATTCTTCACACACAAAAATTAGAGCCCCCGAAAAACAGAGAGAACAGTTGGTTTCTCAACGGTCTCCATTCTGGGCAAAGTGAGATTGAAGGAGGCACTGACAAATTTTGGTATCCTGACAAGCAAATGTTTTGATAGAAAAAGAAGGACAAAGACCTTTGTTGGGAAAAGTGGTATTTGGCAGAAAAGACAAAGATAGATATGTATGTCCAGAAGCCAGCCTTAGAGACTTCTGCAGCACTAGGGGTCCTGAACCAAGAACCCCCTTGAGATGAGAAGAATCCCAAACTGGGTCTGCTTGAAGAGGTAGGCACCACTGACACCTAGGAAAAGAGGAGGGAAGACGGATGAAGGAAATAGAATTTTGAAAGGAGAATTGGAGTCACTTCTGGTGCCATCCAGAACATTCCAGCAGTATAGACCCGGCTGACTATTGGCTTGAACATATAAATTTTAAATAAAGGGAGGGAGGAAGGAAGGATTGTATCAAGTCCTGACAGTCATCTGTGAAACAGGAATGAAAGCTCAGGATGGAAGTTTTGGAAACAGTAGGGTCATAACCTCTGATTGTAAATAAGGAGCTCTTTAGCTCATGGTATTTGCTTTTAGGATCCCAGAGACAACCCAAATGGTAACATCAAAAGCACCCCACTTCAGGGTTGATGTTATCACCACACGAGTGAATGAGAATTAAACCCATACCCCAGAGTCCACTCTCCCTCTTGGCTTTTTTGAACTGCCTGTGGGTGCACAGAGCAGATTGGAGCCTGTGCCCACCTGGAGCAATGTAAACACGCGGGGAGGTATGCCTACGGCGTGTGCACTTGAGGAAAGTTCCCCTGAAGCTTCTCAGCCAGGCATGGAAAGCCCAGTGGCTGACCTTCGTCACCCACAAGGCCCTCTGCTCCAGCTGCAGGCAGTGGAGGGCTCCCAAAGCCCACAG